CGGAAGGCCCTAATGTTAGGGGGGGGGGCCCCCATCATTAAAGAGGGTCCAACATTACTTCATGAGATCAGTAAGGGTGGTCGGGGTTTAGGGTGTGGGGTTTAGGGGTTTGGGGTTACACAGGGTTCAGCGACTAGAAGGGAACTAGGTTTGCATGGATCGGTCATTGTTCCAGCGCATCAAGGCGCATTATGCCAATTATGTAAGTCAACACCGATCACGCAGCCCTAAATGGGGTCCACCTACCTCGCGGTCCTTAAATGGCGTCCTATATACACTGCAAGCTCAGATAATCAGCCCTCTGCACAACCCGAATGGTTCACGCAACCTGCAATGCAGAGCCCATATGTCGCTACAGTACCTCAGGAGGTCCAATCGCCTTGGGAGAGGGGGGACCCAAACATAGAGACCTATATTTCAAACTCCCTATTATCGGGACCCCAAAAATGGTACCCCTGATTTTGGGAAACCCCATGTAGAGTTCACTTCCACAGCAAGACTACGGAGATTGGCTTCACTGCCAGCTCCCCTTTTGTGTACCTACCATCAGAACGCCCTAATATCACCCCCCCCCCGCCCCCCCCTAATGTTAAATACTCTCAATATAGATATATATATATCACATAATGGGAATATCTAATATTCCAGGGGTGGGGGGGTTTCATGTTAGGGGTAATATGCCCCAAAATGGGCGTACTTGATATTCCAGGAGGTGAGGGTTTAATGTTAGGGGAGGGGATAAAGGGATCTCGTAGCTACGTCGTAGTTGAAGTCTTTTTTCATGGTACAGGCCCACAAGAAATCGGAGAGCACGTTGCTGGAAAAGTTCGAAGTTTGGCCCTAAACTACCTGCGGCACAAAATACGCTCCATGGTTCACTCAGCGTCTTCTTTAGATTCTTTTTGGATCTTGCAGCGCGCCCTGTTGTTAGCTGTCCACATTCCTCAAAATTGAACTCCTAAACCCTAAATCCTAAACCCCTAAACCCTAAACCCCGAAGCCCTAAAACCCGAAACCCCAAAACCCTAAAACCCTAAAACCCTAAACCCTAAACCCCTAAACCCTCAAACCCTAACCCCTAAACCCTAACCCCTAACGCCTAAACCCCTAAACTCTGGGGTGTCTCACGCTGTTCGTCCGTGACCTCCTCGAAGGCGGTCTCCATCGTAAGCCTTTGGTCTAGGGACTTTAGGATTTAGGGTTTAGGGGTTAGGGGTTAGGGTTTAGGGTTTAGGGTTTAGGGTTTAGGAGGGACCCTTACTAGGGACCCTTAATCAGGGTTTAGGGGTTTAGGGTTTAGGGGTTTAGGGTTTAGAGTTATCTAAGCACTTCAGGAGGGACCCTTACTAGGGACGCTTCATCCCATTACCATCTATAACCCCTATAGGGTCATTATATAACCTCTATATCCCTAGGTAGTCCCCATATTTACCCCCATAAGCTACAAGGGTCCCTATTAGGGGTCCCTCCAAGAGTCCTTAGATTTGGGGTCTGCGCAAGTTTCAAGGGCTCAGGGTATCACCCCATGGTGGGATGATAGGGTTTAGGGGTTTAGGGTTTAGGGTTTAGGGGTTTAGGGGTTTAGGGTTTAGTGGTTTAGGGTGTAAGGGTTTCAGGGTTTAAGGGTGTGAGGGTTTCAAGGTTTCAGGTTGTGAGGGTTTAAGGGTTTAAGGATCGAGGGGTTAGGGTTTAGGGTAGGGTTTACCGTTCATTTACAAATAAGGATATTCGAGCATACTGTGGTCCACGTCGGGGCAATCGGTCGTTGGCAAACCCCATGTGGGTTTGGGTGTCCAAGTACTTAAAGCGCATTCAATTTTGACTGCAATGGGTCGCTGTGCTGCTTAATACCCAAACCCTGAACCACCTAAGTCGTAAGGGGTAGGGCTAAAGGATTAAGAATTGGATTGCATCAGGAGTACTTGGGGCTTGTAAGGTAAACTTTGTGCTTTGGGGGCCAAGGTTTGGGATCCCACGACGAGGGTCCAAGAGTTTTCATGCACGGTTTAGGGGCTGTACTTCAAATTCAGGGGACTCGTGCCACATGTTGTCCTCAAGTACATTCTGGGTGATCATGGAAGGAAAAGGGGCAGAACCCTAAACCCGCTGCACTTCCTGGATCCTTAAGATTTGTAGCAATGCGAATCTTACCCCTGAAGTATAAAGCCTACGAGTCCTGAACTCGAAGAAACCCTAAAGCCCTAAACCCTATCAGCCCTAAATCCCAAACCCCAAGCCTTCGGGTTTAGGGTTTAGGCTTATGGCCTTTGCCCTTTTGTCCGGTCTGGCAGGGTGCTACCATGAAGATGGCCGCAGGAGGCAACAAGATCAAGAAGAAAGATTTGGGTGCCATTGTAGCTTGGCACTGCAAGGGATATGGGGGACTTGGTAAATTGGGTGCCCTGTTAGGGGGTCCCCATAATTCATAAGGACTATAGTATTCGGGGGTGTATATTTCGGTCCCCCTATCCATCCATGGGAACTACCCTATATTCCTAAATCCTGCACCCCAAGTATGGGGTTCAGAGATTCGGGTTTAGGGTTTAAAGTTTCGGGTACAAGGGTAGGTTGTTGGATATAGTTGTTCAGCTTGCACTGTACTACAGCATACTAAGGAATGTAGCCCGATTTCGCTCAATGGCATCTCAAGAACGCAACAGTTAGGGGGATGTAAAGGGGCCTCAACGCTAAACTCCATTCATTTCAAGATCAGG